CGAATCCGGTTCAGAAACAACCGGCTCTCGGGTCAGGTTCCCGAGGATTTCTGGGGCTTGCCGCGCGTGTACTTGCTCGAGCTTATGGATAATTTTTTCACTGGGCAAATATCCAAGAAGATTTCCGGTGCACACAACCTCTCAATCTTGCTGGTATCAAAGAATCAATTTTCGGGGCCGATACCAGCCGAAATCGGGTCAATACTCACGTTGGTTCAGTTTTCTGGGAGTGAAAATGAGTTCTCAGGTACGATTCCAGCTAGTTTTTAGATTTTGTGGCAATTGGGTATGCTGGATCTCAGCGAAAATAAGCTTTCTGGTGGGATTCCTGAGGGAATTCGGGGTTGGAAGAGTCTCAACGAGCTCAACTTGGCAAACAATAAGTTGACAGGGAAGATTCCTAGTGAAATCGGTAGCTTGCCAGTTCTAAATTATCTTGATCTCTCCGAGAATTACTTATCCGGTAAAATACCACTTGAGTTGCAGAATTTGAAGCTCAATTTGCTGAACTTATCATACAATCGTCTATCTGGAGATCTTCCTCCTCTGTTTGCGAAGGACATGTACAGGAATAGTTTCGTGGGCAATCTTGGTCTATGTGGTGATCTGAAGGGTCTTTGTCCAAAAACCGGAGGATCCAAAAGCCTAGGTTACTTGTGGATTCTTCGATTGATCTTTGTACTTGCGGCTGTGGTTTTTGTCGTTGGAGTGGTATGGTTCGTTAGTAAATACAGAAAATTCAAGAAGGCAAAGAAAGGAATGGCCATGTTGAAGTGGAGATCCTTCCACAAACTGGGTTTCAGTGAATTTGAGGTTGTTGATTGCCTTAAAGAAGAGAACGTGATAGGAAGTGGATCTTCTGGTAGAGTTTACAGAGTTGAGCTTAGCAATGGTGAAGTGGTGGCCGTGAAGAAACTGTTAGAGGAGCTAAAGAAGATTCAATTATTGACTCCAAGAGAGATGAATTCGAAGTTGAAGTCGAAACCCTGGGAAAGATTAGCACAAAGACATTGTAAGATTATGGTGTTGTTGTAACACTGGAGACTGTAAGC